TCCTTGCGCACCCCCGCGGCGTCTGCTCTTTTCGTTGTTTCGTGTTTGCAGACGCGCACGCGCAATGGCGCCTTCCGCGGGGAGCGCTCGCGCGGGAGTCTGGTTTCGCCGCCATTTTCCTTTCTCATGCTTTTTGGTATCGCAGCGTCTGCGCACAAACATATACAAGCGCTCTCTCGCTGTGTGTGCGTGTGTCTGTGTTCGCGCGCACTGACAGCTACCGGTTTCCTTTTAAGAATAACGCGGGTGCCCTATTCGCGTCATATTTTCGTGAAGCACGTGAAGATCGACTTACGATCCGGAGGACTTAAAAGCGCAAAAAATACGGACGGGAAATACACACAGGGGGATCGGTGGCCGAGTCGTCTAGCGCACACCAGCTGGGAGCACGTGGAGCGAAAGCTCGCGCTGCAGAATCCAGGGATCCTGGGTTCGAGCCCCACCCCTGCCCGTTTCGATCTGGATGAGCATCGTACCGGCGTGCGGTCCTGTATCACTACTGCGTGATGCACGTTAAAGACCCCAGGCTAGCGGTTGTGCCGCGCTGGCTAAATTGCTCATCTACAGCTGGGAGACTCGTCGCCCCTGCGAGGCAGACCAAGTTCTAGGCTGTATAAACACACACACAACTCAATTCTTTTAATAGACACATACAACATGGACTGGCGGCGTGTTGTATCTGTAACTTCCTGGTCCGTGTTTCTTGCGCTTTTACGTCCTCCAGATCCCAATGAAGCAACTAGCCCAATCTAAAGTTCTAATTCGACTTGCGGCTCGAGCCCTTGTCTTTGGCCGGTGCTTCGACGCCAGTTTCGCGCACGCTAATTCCTACGTGCTATCGAGGTGCTGTCGAGATAGGCTACCACAACGTGCATCAACATAAAAAAATAAAACCTTAAAGCGCCTTTTTTTTTTTTTTTGTAGTTGCTGTGTGTTCTTAGCATGGGGCACGCACTGCGAAATGTTCCAACATGAAAACTATAGAACTTTGAGACAGCATATTAGAGTGTTTGTTTTTTTGTAGTAAGCCGTGTGTTTTCCTCATCTGAACGCTCTGCAAAATGTTCGGACATGAAAGGTTAAACTTTAAAACAGCCTAACAATAAACTCGGTGTTTTTTTGTTTTTTTTGTAGTAGTAGTGGTAATTGCGTGTTTTTGGCATCGCTAAGCACTGCGAGTGGTCCAACATGAAAATTTAAACTTAGAAACAACCTGCTAAAGTTCCGCGTGGGTTTGGCATTGACTTCTACGAAGTGTACCACCATCAAACAAAAACTCTGAGGCACCCTAAGAAGTTTGTTTTTGTAGCAACCGTGAACTATCGGCATCGGGTACCACAAATAATAGAGAGCTTTAGGGAACCGTTTTTGCGCATCGGATACGGTACGGTGGGCCCTCCGGTATACGAACTGCGCATGCGCCACTGGAAAAGACCCGCACATGCGCAGTTCCTACCGGAAGGCCCATCGTATACCGTATCGGATGTGCAAAAACGGTTCCCTAAGACTCTCTAATGGCACGCACCATAAGAGGAACACTTCGAGCCCACAAGAACGCCTTTTGTTCCAGGACTCGTGCAGCAAAAAGAGCACTTTTAAAAGTCACCAACCGGCGCGCCATCATAACGTGGTATATACGACTCGTAAATCAATTGGGAGAGATGAACCACAAAGTAACCAGCGCAATCAAAGTATAGACGTTTTCTGTTTCCTGTTGTTCTCAGTCACGTGGGTTCCGTATAATCTGGTACGCGGGACGAAAAAATAATAGAACATTTCCACCTGGAATATGCGAGAAAATATAGGTGAGGGAAAACAAGAATGTGTGACAATGAGGCATTTTTCGTAAAAACCTTTCAGCGGCGTGGAGAGATCAAAACGACGTGTTACCGTATACCAGAAGTGACGGCATTCAAGATGGCTGCGCCCTTCTGGAAAATTCCAAGCAGCAGTCGTCGTTATCTCTCTCCGTCGCCCCGCGCCCTCTCAACGTACTCGGCGAAACTACCCGATCATGAAGCGCGAATGAAACCGTTCCGCCGGAATGAACCTTTTCCGAGAAGCGTTCCGCGCACGCGCGAGCGCCCGATGCCAAGCGGGGGAAGTCGGCACGAAAAATCCAGGAAATTCGGAAGGACACTGAGGGATCAGCGAGGTAGAACACGTAATTGCAGCACATATAAAATTGTGTTACACACAAAAAAATAATAATAATAAGGTGGACGGAAAGAAAAACAAGACGTTTGGGTGGACGCCTCGGATTCCTATTTTTAAAGTCGCGTTGGGCACGCGCCGCAGCTCAGAGACCGAAGAAACTGGCAGCGGTAGCTCCCATTATCCATTGGTAGCGCAGGTAGGTCACTTCCTCAATTTTTAGTTCGTGCAGCCACCGCCCGGTGCCGTCGGTATGTGGAAAAGGTCCGTTCGGAAACCTGGTAAACCGATTCATCTGACGACCGACAGGCGTTTCCGCCACTAAATTGCAAACGACCTCCATGGTTTGGAGTTGCCCCCTCCCTTAAACGTAGGCTCTCTGGTGTTACCTGAGTAACACGGGGCCTGACAGACTACCAATACTCCGGTCCGCTTCAACAGGCGTAGCCAAGGCGACCATTGATTATACGGTTTTATACCTTCACAATCGTCACGACAGTGCACGCAGTACCAGACTTAGTGTCTTACAGAAGTACTCACGCTATCGAAGTGCACTTCAATATACATGTTCAGAGAATCAGAACTGTGTGTTTGGATAATTAGACACTATCGCACGGAGCAGGCCGCGCCACCCACCGACCTCCGAAGGCGCCCATGCAGCAGCACGACACAACAGTCACCAGACGCACACAACCGATAAGCCTCCGGCACAGGGGCTGCCGAGAAGCGAAAAATCGGCATCGCGGGAAAAAAAAAAAAAAAAGAACGACAGGCTAGGCGGAACTAGCCGATAAAGAAAACCTGCCACTTTTTAAACGGCGCCACCGTGGTATTCTAGTAGACCATAACCGTGGCGTGGCGCCTCTGAGCTTGAATGAGTTAGCGAGTGTTGTAGTTCACCATTAAAACAATAATAATAAAAACAGTAATCTAAAATATACAATCTTTTTTTTTTAACTTTTTCGCTGTTTCGAGTGTAATAGTAAAAGCGTTGCCGTTGTCGTATCTTCATACAGGCGACAAACATACGGGGGGGGGGGGGGGGGGCCTTCAGTTTGTCAAACGACGTTTTAGGGAAGGCCGACTTTTAATGGAAGGACGGGTGACACCAGCTCACACAACTTGTGTGAGCTGGTGTCACCCGGTGTGGAAGAACACCCGATGCCCTGATCTGGCCGCCTCCAAAATCACAATTTAAAGGGACAGTGAGTTTTCACCCGGTTTGTCTACAGCACACCGTTTCAAACTATCACCGGCTCGCACCAACACCTCATCCGATCCCGAAAATCAATACAGTTCAATCGAAGAGGCTATGTGTGCCCTCCTCAGTGCTTCGAGCAGCCATCGAGCAAATGAGTGCTCCATTTCCTTTTCAGTCAGTCACTGATTAGTATAGAATATACCACCATTCATCAACCTAGGGTGGTTTGCAGACGTGGTAGCCACTCCACAAGAAAAAAAAAAGTAAAATGCATTGCAGATGTACCCGAGAAATCGGGGGAAAAAAACAGTTTCAACGATATATTTATTTAACTATTTTTACGGATTTCAAGTTTCTCCTTTATTTTTTTCTTGTCCTACCGGTTAACGACATCCTTCAACGAGTCACACAGATCGTACCAAGCATTTACACACATTTGCGTTTGAGTGCGACACGTTCTGTTGCGGTTGCCAACTGCAGAACACGGTTGCGTTGAAACCAGTCGACCGAAGAGCCAATAAGGAGTTTTCGTAGATCGTTTTCGCCGTCCTGCAGCGATATCCGCAACCCGCTACGATACCCGTAACTCTAGAGTCAAGGCCATCGGCGCGCAGGCGCAGTAGCGGCTTCTTCGCTGCGGAGGGCTTAGTGGAGGGGAAAACGCGGTGTACGAAAACTCCTTATACTACTGCGCCTGCGCGCCGATGACCTTGACTGTAGAGTTACGGGTATCGTAGCGGGTTGCGTAGAGCGCTGCAGGGCGCCGAAAAGGATCTACGAAAGCTCCCTAATAAGAACGCGCTATCGTCGCTTGCAGCTCACCAATTGCACGCCAAATCCACGAAAACATGGCGGCATTCGGCGACAGCGTCGAGGTGGCCGATATGTTGGGACGATCCCGCCGGCTTCTGCAACTTATGTCCAAACTAAGGGACCCTATAAGTGTCTAAACCTGCTGCACCCGTGTCCCTCCACCGCTCCCATCTAACAAAAGGGAATTGTAGTAGACTGTCCTTCGCTACGGTATCCCTGAAAAAAACGCCGCAGCTGCGCATGCGCGCCGCCAGCTTTATCTGCATAGTTCAAAGTCTTGTGGCGGATTACGGAGCGCTATCCGGGAGCTTAGCGGGCTGCGGAAACGGTCTACTACAATTCCCATATTTCGGAACGGGAACCCGGATCCGCTTCGCTGAAAGGCGCGAGCGAGGACGGGAACGTTCCCTTTCTTTTCTCGCCTCCTGATTGGTCTAAGCCCACAACACTCCTTACAGAGAACACACTCCGTGAGCTCCGCGAGAGGGGAGTTCCTTCTTCAGCTCTTCTCTAGTCGTGGCCGGAGGCGAGACAGTTACCGTCACTACCTGTCAAGTTTCCTAGACGGGCATTACAAACGAGGCGTCAGCGACATCCACCAGGTGCTCTTTGCTAATCGTTTCATTCGTTTTAAAATTCTTTTGCGTGTCTTTTTCAACACGAGATTGGTGTGTCTGATGTGATAATGCTCCTTTGAACACGAATAGACCGAGAAAAAAGCTCCAAAATTTCGGTGTAGTAAAAACAACAACAAAAAGAAAACTGGCGATTGGCAGGCAGTGTTAACTGTGCTGCGCTCTGTCGATGACACGGCATTACTCGAGAAGCTCACCTCTGTGCTTCCTTGAACTTCTTGAAGCTTGCGATAGGACCCTTCTTGTACTTCCGTGCTCCGTACTTATATCTCTTCGGTTTCTTCCGGTAGACGACGCCTGCGAACGTTTCCAACAGACCGGTCGAGCGAAATTCGTCCTCGCACAAAGTTGCGACATCCTCCACATGTGACCCGAGCCGCTGTATCTCTGAAAAGCATTGCGGACGGATGATAACCTCAACGGGAGGAGGTTGTCACGGGACAGACATGCTTCCAGAAGCTCAATCCCCAAACTTCGGGTAGCCCGAACGGTCGGTTAGGCTACCTATAGACCTAATGCCAATCGGCCGCAACAACCAGCACCACGGCAGCACGTGAAAGCCTGTTCGAAAGCGAGCCCTTAGAGGGAACTGTCATTCTGCGCTTGTCCCTGCTGTCTCTCCGGAACCTGGAGAGGTGGCCACAAAACAGATGTCGATCTTCGCTCGCTGGACAGCACTCCGTTAGTATCCGACGACCCTATATTCGCTGACAGGTTAAAGGGATACTGAATCGAAACTTGAAATACACCTATTATGGTCAGAAATAGGTTTAATATGATTAATGATATCCGTAAATCATAATCGCGCGTTTGTATTTTGAACGGATGGCTATATTTTTCACACTAAGGAGCCCGATTGGGCGCGCGCTCAAAAATCAGCCATTGGGGAGCGCGATGCGTCTTGGGACATTCCGCACATTCGTGAAGTCACTTGTGCCCGACGGGAAAGGCTACGGCGTGGTGTTGTAGTTACGAGCGTTGCTACTTGGTAGCGCGTCGACGATTTACGACCTGTGACAACGTGGCCGTTTGAGATGTGCAAGGGCTGCACGCACGCTGCACCACGGCAAGTCGGCAACCACGGCACTACTGACAAAACCAGCTCCGTGGCCGGATTCTCAAAGCGAACTTACGACGAAAAAAGTGCGTACAACAAATTTGGGAGAAAACCCATATTCACGACAGAATCCTACGACAGCTCCGAAGCTGTCTTACGCAGCTTTTACGATCAAATCAACATGGCCGACAGCGTCGCTCAGTTACTTGGTCGCGACGGCCAACGGATATTTATTTTTTTACGTGCTCTACTCGCGCGTCCCGACTTCAACCAGCAAGAAAAAAGAAGGGAGTACTTCAAACAGACCACGACGAACAAGAACGCGGGATCCACGAACACCCGAGAGCAGCTACAACGGCCACGATTCCACCGACCAAGCGAGCTTGGCAGAATATAGTAGGCCTAGCAGCAACACCGACTCGGCGCACCGTTGCTCCGGCGGTCCTTGGCCAAGACCGTCTGCCCACGACCGGCTGGCGTGCTGAATGGATTATGCCCGCGCGATCCTTGTCGACCCTTTCCGAATGAATAGTTTGATCCCTGAACTAAATTTCAGAGGTCAATCTTTTCCCCTTGTCATCTCGATCTCCTTGTTTTCCGAGGCAGCGGTGACGAACGCTATCGTCGAGAAGGGAATCTTATTGATTCTATCTGCTTGTTTTGTGTGATATAGAGCTCAAATAAACGCCATACGGATTACCTTCGCAACACGGTATGTACACTCTGTTATTAGTATGCCATTTTTATTCTGACACGACGCTACGTCACTGTCGAGCTATAGCAGTTCGTGGGAGCTATGCGATGTCTGTCCGACCTTTCTTTGTCGAGTGTCACGTCAGTATCGAGTTGCGATCGTAAAAGATCGGTCCAGAAGCGCTTACCGAAACGCGGTCTAACAGAGCGAATCCAGCACTTCGATCAAACGCGCGCGTCCGCTCCGAGTGTAAACAGGTATTTGCGTGGCTCTTGCTGACACTCTCGTAGTCCCAGCGTATCTTTTTTAACGTCGGCTCGCACGTCACGACTCGCAGCAACTAATATCGGCCGTGCCAGAAGCATGCTCGGGACGTGTCGTGCAAAGAGCCGCAACGAGAACGAGCTCACTGTGGCCAACTACGCTTTGGCTTTCTCCGCCAAGGCTTTGCAAACGCGTTCAGGCCTAGACTAATCCTGCCGGCACGCTGTATTTCCGCAGAACGGCGCTGCTCCTATGCCACAAGTGATGTCACGAGAACTTTCCCACCATCCACCAGATGTGAATTTCAAATCGTTTAATTAGGTTTAAAATTAGTTCTCCTGTGTTTTACAGCACGATATTGATATCTTCAAGGTGGTGCCTGTCCCTAGCCCATATTTATGCAGAAGGATCGGCGCTAAAATTTCATTTCCGTACCCCTTTAAGAATTCGGGGGAAAACTCCTCCCATCCCTTTCTGCTTTAGCAGAGCAAACGCCGAATGGGAGGTCGCGTGCTATGCCGCGTTCGTGCTGCTGAAGTGGGGTGGAAGAAGCTTTATATGAACTCTTAACCTGTCTCTGACTCTCTGGCTGTCTTGGTTTCTTTACGAACGCAGAATAAGGAACCATAGAATAGGGGGCCGCAACTCTTGGGGGCCGCCAAAGGGCTTGGGGCGGCACACTGCGCAGGCGCAGTTCGACGTTTCCGCTTTTAAGTGCCAGAACGCAACAATTAACTTCGGGTCGAAGCCATTCAGCGGAAGCTGTACCTTCGCGGCGCTTTTCTGTTATACATTAACTTCACTTATCAGCCCCTCCCCCCTGTTATTAGAAGGACTGCCTTACCTCCTACTTCCTCAATTTTTCCTGAAATATCTGAGGCATCTTCAGTTACTGCTGCACCCTCAGAGGCATCCTCAGTGCCTCCTGCACTCCGGGAGACGTCCTCTTCTGCAGTCTGAGTGCTTTTTGAATGGCCGATCGACTCAACTTGGCTACAGAACACAAGAAATGAAAAGCGACTGTCAGTGATCCAACGTACGTATCTGCAGTGTCTCAACAAACCAAAGCTTCGGTTAGGAGAACATCTGACTGAGGATCTCAAGTCCAGTTACAACTGGATACCACTCTCGCCAGCACTCAAGCTAACAATACTATACCTTTATAGACACGGGAGCAGGTAGTTTCCACAGAAGTGACTAATCCTGTACGAATAGTCCTTTTTTCTTCAGGTAGTTGTTGCTTAGAAAATTTAGCATGGGTATATGCCGGCAATTCGGCTTCGTAGGGGTAGGGGGGGGGGGGGGGGGGATGGTTGGTCTCGATTAATTGGGCGGCGGCTTGCGCCACCTAGCCTAAGGGGAGGTCAAACGTTCGCGGCTCTCGGGACTAAGTAGATACCTAAACCCATGGGGACAGCAACAGGAATTATATGTTTATGTTTCTGACGAAGCGCTCAGCTGACGAAGCCAAACTTACGTCAGGGAGGCAGCTTGCGCCACCTTGTGTTTAATTAGTAAAGCTCCAATCGAACACGAGTTCCCAGCAGAATGTTGACTCAGCAGGCCCGTCAGAATTTGGTGACTCTTCTTAGGCATTAAAGGAGCTGAGAAACAATTTCAGTGCTTTGCTTAAATAATTTGGGAGTTGGTGACTCGGCCTTTCTGAAGTATAGAACAAAAAACCGCTTTCGCCTGCATATCCTAGTTTTTATTTTAAAAATGGACAAATATGGAGGTTTTGGGCACGGTCACGTGCGCTGTGACGTCATTGGGGGTCGCGCGGGGTTCCGTGAAGTTCACTCTCTAGAGGCATCAGTGAGCAGCGAGAACATCATCCGCTCGCGACCGCGTGACCACGTGCTGGCGCAGCGCGAACAATATGGTGAAAAGAGGAAAGTCTCATCCGGGTCCGGCCATACCCGTCCGGCCCTGTCCCTCTCCTCCTCCGGCTTCTGGCGGCTGTTCCGCTGTTCGCGGTAACCGATGGAGCTGACGGTTTTGTGGACCTAGGATAGATGGCGCCACTAAAACTCCGTATAATCAAAGTTTTGCCGATGATACCAAGGCTTTGACGCGTCTATATTTATGTTGGAACGACAAGATTTATAGATAAGTTACCTTTTATCTAGCAGGTATTCGCACAACTTGCTACCTTTCTACAAGACCCCCATTCATTGACGTCATGCCGCGTGATTCTCATCGCCGCCACTCGCGGCTGCAAGTCGAGGAATATTCTAATTTTTGCCTCGCGATTGCGCGGCGGAATCGCAACATTTCGAAGGAAAGATGTGTGTTTCCTGCCCTTAGTGACAAGATAAACAATGTAAAAAGTAGAAGATGCCAATTGTTTCAACGTTAAAATCGTTGCACAGCTCCTTTAAAGACTATTAATATTATCCGTGACCCGCACTCGATCCAAAGAGATGACGTAAAGAGCCCAGTCCACCGGCTTTGTGTTTGGTAAACATCGACCTCTAGGGAAGCAAGCTGGGCATCGATCTCCTCGGCAAGACTAGGGAGCCTTCATGTGCGCTTTGCTAGGGTGGTGCCACCCTTTGTAATACTACTCGCCGACAAAGCAGCAGCCATTTTGGTCTCGGCGATAATCCGTGGGGCTTATAAACCGAAGCGCACATGAAGGCACCCTACCTTAGGCAAGACAAAAAGTAGAAAACTGCGGGACTGGGGCTCGAGGGTGAAAAATAAATTGCCCGCGGAATCCGTACTATTACAAGTCCGGATGGAGCAAATTACCCCCAGCTGCAGATTCTCGGTTTTCGCGCGCTAAGAAAATAATCCCATCAGCGCTTTACGCTCGGATTAGGGCGCAAAGCACCCTTCTTTGTCCTAGGGGTCCCAAGTCTGTCGATGGCGCCGTGCATCGAGAGGAGACAGAATCAGCAAGGGGAGGCGGGGCCGGAAGTAAGGACGCGTCGGCCAACTCGATGATCCTTCCAAGAAGGTCACGTCGTTCCCGTAAACCAAGGTGCGTTGGCGACCCCGAGGCGCCTCTCGCTTTGTCTCCGGGTGCAGCTGACCGTAACCACCCGGCGGCGATGCTCCAGGGAGTTCCCCCGTGCGGGTCGGTTAGGAGGGGCAAGGTCGACTCCTGGGGCCTTTCGCAACACCATACATGACAATCGCACGTTTGTATTTTGAGCCTGGTATCTGTATTTTTCGTTATAAACGGCCCACTCTGGCAAACGCTTGGAGAGCAGCCAGCGAAGAGCACGTCACATCCTCCGCATCATGACGTAGTTTGTCTCGGGACATTATGTCCGGACGCAGCGGACGCTGCGAGCTATTCCCGCCAATCCCCATCTGTGCAAGTAGCCCGTGGTACGCTTTCCGCCCGTCACTGTGACCCCTCTCTAAGGTCATGTGACATTCACACGGCCTTGGATAGGCTCCGATGGCTCGTAGCATCCAGTGAAAGCAGCCGAAGCACACCAGCCGATGGGCCACCGCAAGTAACCCCAATGCCGTCTTTGGACGAATTTTGAGAGAAGGGTTAATCTTCTATAATCTTACTTCTGGGACAGAAAAGAGAGTCTAAGTGGAGAGGGGAGTTCCTTCTTCATCTCTTCTCTCGTCGTGGCCGGAGGCGAGACAGTTACCATCACTACCTGTCAAGGTTCCTAGACGGGCATTACAAACGAGGCGTTAGCGACATCCACCAGGTGTTCTTTGCTAATCGTTTAATTCGTTTTAAAATTCCTTTTCGTGTCTTTTTCAACAAGAGATTGGTGTGTCTGATGTGATAATGCTCCTTTGAACACGAATAGATCGAGAAATAAGCGCCGAAATTTCGGTGTAGTATCCCTTTAAGGGAAAAAAAACAACAACAACAAAAAAAAAAAAACTGGCGATTGGCAGGCAGTGTTAAAGGGAAGATGGGGCACTTCTACATTTGAGAAAAAACGCTTGAATTGCGTTCATTTGGCCTTTAGAATAACAGATATCAAAATTATATTTCAATGCGACGCGCCGGAGAGCCACAAGAGCAATTTCAAAATAGGGCTGAAGCCCCGCCCCCCTAGCCTTGGGCAGCCAAAAGAGCCGTCAATGACGTCATGGACAGCGACTGTCTTTCGCGTTTTTCTCGCGTTTAACAATACTTACGCAGCAAATGGTTTGGGTATTCGGGTTCACGGGGTAAAAATACACTAGAATTCACTTCTAACTCATTTTTTCCAAGAAGCTCCGTAGCTTCCCTTTAACTGTGCTGCGCTCTGTCGATGACACGGCATTACTCAAGAAGCTCACCTCTGTGCTTCCTTGAACTTCTTGAAGCTTGCGATAGGACCCTTCTTGTACTTCCGTGCTCCGTACTTATATCTCTTCGGTTTCTTCCGGTAGACGACGCCTGCGCACGTTTCCAACAGACCGGTCGAGCGAAATTCGTCCTCGCACAAAGTTGCGACATCCCCCAGATGTGACCCGAGCCGCTGTATCTCTAGAAAGCAGTGCGGACGGATGATAACCTCAACGGGAAGAGGTTGTCACGGGACGGACATGCTTCCAGAAGCTCAATCCACAAACTTCGGGTAGCCCGAACGGTCGGTTAGGCTACCTATAGACCTAATGCCAATCGACCGCAACAACCAGCACCACGGCAGCACGTGAAAGCCTGTTCGAAAGCGAGCCCTTAGAGGGAACTGTCATTCTGCGCTTGTCCCTGCTGTCTCTCCGGAACCTGGAGAGGTGGCCACAAGACAGATGTCGATCTTCGCTCGCTTGACAGCACTCCGTTAGTATCCGACGACCCTATATTCGCTGATGGGTGAGAATTCGGGGGAAAACTCCTCGCATCCCTTTCTGCTTTAGCAGAGCAAACGCCGAAGGGGAGGTCGCGTGCTATGCCGCGTTCGTGCTGCTAAAGTAAGGTGGAAGGAGCTTCCTACGAACTCTTAACCTGTCTCTGACTCTCTGGCTGTCTTGGTTTCTTTACGAACGCAGAATAAGGAACCATAGAATAGGGGGCCGCAATTCTTGGGGGCCGCCAAAGAGCTTGGGGCGGCACACTGCGCAGGCGCAGTTCGACGTTTCCGGTTTTAAGTGCTAGAACGCAACAATTAACTTCGGGTCGAAGTCATTCAGCGGAAGCTGTACCTTCGCGGCGCTACATGAACTTCGATTATAAGCCCCTCCCACAATGTTATTAGAAAGACTGCCTTACCTCCTACTTCCTCAATTTTTCCTGAAATATCTGAGGCATCTTCAGTGCCTCCTGCACTCCGGGAGACGTCCTCTTCTGCAGTCTGAGTGCTTTTTGAATGGCCGATCGACTCAACTTGGCTACAGATCACAAGAAATGAAAAGCGTCTGTAAGTGATCCAACGTACGTATCTGCAGTGTCCCAACAAACCAAAGCTTCGGTTAGGAGAACATCTGACTGAGGATCTCAAGTCCAGTTACAACTGGAGACCATTCTCGCCAGCACTCAAGCTAACAAAACTATACTTTTATAAACACAGGAGCAGGTGGTTTCCACAGAAGTGACTAATCCTGTACGAATAGTCCTTTTTTCTGCAGGTAGTTGTTGCTTAGAAAATGTAGCATGAGCATATGCCGACAATTCGGCTTTGTAGGGGTATGGGGGGGGGGGGGGGGGTGGTTGGACTCGATTTATCGGGCGGCAGCTTGCGCCACCTAGCCTAAGGGGAGGTCGAACGTTCGCGGCTCACGAGGGCGAAGTAGTTACCTAAACCCATGGGGACAGCAACAGGAATTATATGTTTGTGTTTCTGACGCAGCGCTCAGCTGACGTAGCCAAACGTTACGTCAGCCTTCGGCTTAAGCTTGTGGATGGATAAATGGATGCTAGCTAATGGCTGAACCCTTTACAACGGGAGGTAGTTTGCGCCACCTTGTGTTTAATTAGTGAAGCTCCAATCGAACACGAGTTCCCAGCTGAATGTTGACTTAGCAGGCCCGTCAGAATTCGGTGACTCTTCTTAGTCATTAAAACAATTTCAGTGTTTTGCTTAAATAATTTGGGAGTTGGTGCCTCGATTTTCTGAAGTAAAGAACAAAAAACCGCTTTTGCCTGCATATCCTAGTTTTTATTTTAAAAATGGACAAAGATGGAGGTTTTCGGCACGGTCACGTTCGCTGTGACGTCATTGGGGGTCGCGCGGGGTTTCGTGAAGTTCTCTCTCTAGAGGCATCAGTGAGCAACGAGAACACCACCCGCTCGCGACCACGTGCTGGCGCAGCGCGAACAATATATGGTGAAAGGAGGAAAGTCTCATCCGGGTCCGGCCGTCCGGCCGGATGAGTCTCACCCGTCCGGCCCTGTCCCTCTCCTCCTCCGGCTTCTGGCGGCTGTTCCCCTGTTCGCGGTAGCAGATAGAGCTGACGGTTTTGTGGACCTAGGATAGATGGCGCCACTAAAACTCCGTATAATCAAAGTTTTGTCGATGATACCAAGGTTTTGACGCATTTATATTTATGTTGGAACGACAAGATTTATAGATAAGTTACCTTTTATCTAGCAAGTATTCGCACAACTTGCTATCTTTCTACAAGACCCCCATTGACGTCATGCCGCGTGATTCTCATCGCCGCCGCTCGCGGCTGCAAGTCGAGGAATATTCTAATTTTTGCCTCGCGATTCCGCGGCGGAATCGCAACATTTCGAAGGAAAGATGTGTGTTTTCTGTGCTTAGTGACAAGATAAACAATGTCAAAAGTAGAAGATGCCATATTTTTCAACGTTAAAATCGTTGCACAGCTCCTTTAAAGACTGTTATTATTATTCGTGACCCGCACTCGATCCAAAGAGATGACGTAAAGAGCCCAGTCCACCGGCTTTGTGTTTGGTAAACATCGACCTCTAGGGAAGCAAGCTGGGCATCGATCTCCTCGGCAAGACAAAAATAGAAAACTACGGGATTGGCTGTGGCTATAGAGGGCTCGTGGGTAAAATATAGATTGCCCGCAGAATCCGTACTATATTACAGAGACGGTCAACTAACCGGGAGTAACGTACAACAGGGCGTGACACTACAGCACGTATCGTCGTTTAACTCACTGACCCTGCTAGAGCAGTCACGGTTTCCGGCAGCTGTTGCTCCGGGGAACTAGACCCACGCACTGCGAACCCGGGGTCAGTCCGTTTCCCCAAAGAAGGCTGCACGGCCCTGTCTGTCCTCTTCGCTCGGCCCGAACGCTCTGCCGGCACGTCGCTGTCTCTATAAATGGAGATAGCGCGCAAATACATTAACATGAATAGGTGTGTGCACTTAATCAAGAGAGTGTTCAGTGACCAACCCGAGACTCGCTTCCTCTTCCGAGCCGGCACGCTGAGACTCGCTGTTTCCATCCGACGTTACAGAACCAGAAGCTTCATCCGCAGGTCTGGGAACCAAGTTGAGCATGTCATCTATAAGGTGTACACCTTCCTTGGATACTATACGTAGCGATTTTCTCATCCTCGCCACGGCTGACTGTCAAATCCACTGATCTCTATGACAATTGCTGGATCGCGTTTGCCCGCTCCGCGAATGCGGTCACTGGCGGCCATCTTTAGGTAGAGTTATATCACCTCTAGCCAATGTAAGCTGCTGCAGCCGCTATCATCCATCCATGGCAGATAGCGTTTTGGCAGGTGGGTTGGCAGGCTGCGGTCAAAATAGCGTGGGGGTGATATTGCGTGCTTGATTAAAATTATTTGACGAAACATGTTTTTGAAACCCGGCGTGAACAGTAGTCCGGTTTTTGAGGACCTGGGAAAAGTTTCAAGAAATCGCAGCACCGGGAGAAAAGCAGCACAGCACGTATCGAAAGTCGCATCGAAAGAAGCATCGAAAGCAGACGACGGTACGGAGTCTGAGGCCAGATTCATAAAAAACCTCTTACCTACGACAACTTAGCTACGAAGTTCGTAAAGTTACGATCATCGTATAAGATGAGGCGAGAACGGTATTCACAAACGCGTTCTTAAGTGAGAGGAGGAAAGTTACGACCTCTTACGGAGAAACGATGACTTCCGGTGCTGTTGCTATGGCACCGGCGTCTTCGGCAAAACGAACAACCAATTAGAGAGCTAGGCATAGTTCGGAGCACGTGGATTTTTAATAACAAACACAGGCTAACCACTCGTTGATAGACAGCTCCGTGTATGTCCTGTCCTGTCTGTGTAAATGTGTAGTGTTCAAGCTGATTCTCATAAACACGGGCGACCTTTCCACCACCGCTTGTCTGGGGTTCGTGTCCGTGCAGTGGTATATCGACGCTAACACGATTTAAACGCTTCGTTGGCTGCTACAAACTCGATCGCTACGAAGTCAACACAACTGTCATCGTTGGTAAAAGCCCCGTGCCAGTCGTTTGCAAAGCAACGTAGAAGGAAACAAACCGCCGCGGCGTTTCTCGCGGCCTCGGAAATGCAGGAGTGAGCCGACGTTAAAAAAGTTTGAACTACGAGTGTGTCAGCAAGAGTCACGCAAATACCTGTTCACACTCGGAGCGGACGCGTGCGTTTGATCGAAGTGCTGGATTCAGACTGCGTTTCGGTAAGCGCTTCGGGACCGATCTTCTACGATTGCAACTCGATACTGACGTGACACTCGGCAAAGAAAGGTTGGACCGGCATCACGTAGCTCCCACAAACTGATACAGCTCGACAGTTAAAAATGGCATACTAATAACAAAGTGTACATACCTTGTTGTGAAGGTAATCCATACGGCGTTTATTTGAGCTCTATATCACACAAAACAAGGAGATAGAATCGAGGAGTCCCTTTTCGACGACAGCGTTCGTCACCGCTGCCTCGGAAAACAAGGTGATCGAGATGATAAGGGGAATCGGTTGACCTCTGAAATTTAGTTCAGCTATCAAACTATTCATACGGGGAGGGTCCACAAGGGTCGCGCGGGCATATTTCATTCAGCAAGCCAGCCGGTCGTGGGCAGACGATCTTGGCCAAGGACCGTCTGAGCAATGCTGCGCCGGAACGGGTCGGAGTGCCTGCTAGGCCTATATATTCTGCCGAGCTCGCTTGGTCGGTGGGATCGTCGCCTTTGTTGCCTTTTCCGGGTGTCTGTGGATCCAGCGTTCATGTTCGTCGTGGTCGGTTTCAGGACTTCTTCATTTTTTTCTTGCTGCTTGAAGTCGGGACGCGCAAGAAGAGCAGGTAGAAAAATAAATGTCCGTTGGGTCGTCGCGACCGAGCAACCGAGCGACGTTGTCGGCCATGTTAATTTGATCGTAGAAAGTGCGTAAGACAGCTTCGGAGCTGTCGTAGGATTTTGTCGTAACCTGCGCAAAAGTTACGACAATTTCGTTTCGAGAATACGGATTTTCTCTCAAATTTGTCGTACGCATTTTTTTCGTCGTAAGTTCGCTTTGAGAATCCGGCCTCTGCTTTTGATGCGAGCTGCGCTGCTTTCCCCCGGTGCTGCGCTTTCGTAGAACTTTTGCCGGGTCCTCAAAGATGAGGCTACCGTTCACGCCGGGTTTCAAGAATCTGCTTCGTCGAACAACTTCAATCAAGCACGAAATGTCACCCACGGTACAGTGTACTAGATCTACGGCTATTTTTATGGCAGCCTGCCGCCATTGCGCTGTCCGCCATATTACTATGATGGCTAGAGATGATATAACTCTACCTAAAGATGGCCGCCAGTGACCGCATTCCGGTCCATAGGAGGAGCTGGTCAAACGCGATCCAGCAAATAGACATAGAGATCAGTGGTCAAATCTTAATGGGCCCATTGTAATATATATATATATATATATATCCGGAACAGCGTTAAACTCACGTCGGGTAAACGTCTAACCCGAACGATTGCGTTAAAAGTTATTGCTTTATGTTTTTGTTTTTTCACGATCAGACACGCAGGACGGTTATGAAGCATATACGTTCCATTCAATTAACGAGCAATCAAACCCACCCGCACAAAAATAACGTTCCGTAAAAATAATAATAATAAAGAACAAAAAAAGAAATTAACATATGCCATACATAGAATTCGGCGTTTGACACGAATCGTTCAGCGCGCCATGTCTGATCGAAACTTCGCGGGATCGGCACGCTTCTACAGGGCCAGTGCTTTTGTCAAGATCCCTAGTTGACCAGCAGTGCCAATCCAGAAATCGTTCTATAGACCTTTCCAAGAATCGCCTACTGGTCGCTGCCATCTTTGTCTATTGGGCTATGGAAGGCGTTTTGAGCGTGCGCAGTTGCTCTCTTCCCCGAAATATGAGACGCTGCGCATGCGCCCACAACCAAGTGATTCAGCATCTTTCGCCTGCGTGATCAGCGCTGGAAAGGTCTATAAGTCCCCGAATGTTCGAGGGGGGCGCGGGTAAAAGAGAGCTCCGTATTCGCTCACCTCCGGCGTCTTGTGGACAATAAATTCAGGGCCAACCCGGCCAAGTACTTTCTTCTTCGTTTCGACCCACGCCATTTGAAGCGCTTGGGACCCATGGCACCAACTGCTCGCTCGTGCGGAATCGCAGACGGGGCCTTCCTGCGCATGTGTGAGCACACAACTTTCACGGATGGGCCCGCGCCCGCAAGATGAGCAATCCACTTTTTTTATTTTAATTTTAATGCGTTTGCACAAGTGCTTTGGTACACGCGCTCTCGGACTGGTTTGGAGCACATGTATGTAAAGTTCCCAACGTCCCCACGGGATAGCGCCACAGTCCTACTGGCTTAGGGAGCGACGCCGTGACGCAATACCCAGCAACCGAAGATGGCCGGCGACGTTCCCCTTCGACAATTTCGGCGCCGCGCAGTGGGGGACGTGTCCACGCCGCTTCACGGCGACAGTCTGAGGATGGCCCATTACAAAATATTAACCCACCTTGGACTAGAGCTACCAGAGTTGTGCGTCTCTTTTCTACGTGCTGCCGTGGCGCTACTCGTCAATATCCGATCACGTGAGGAGCAGACTCAAATGCCGTGCAGGAAAGTAGACGTTGCACACACCATAGTTCGAACGCGCGGCGCCTCGAACGCGCGCCGCGCTCAATCGCCGAATTCAGTCACGCGAGGAGCAGGATCAACATGCCGTGCAGGAAAGACTGCGCTACGGGGATGAACACGCAACTCTGGCTCCAAACTTTGGGCCACCCGTACGCGCCACCTTGCGGCGCCCCGCCAGCGGACAAAGTACGTCCCCGCTGTCCCCCACTGCACCTCGACTCATAGGTGTTACGCGACGCCGTCGTTCTCTATAACCATAAAATCTTGTGCGGCCGCCGTTCTTCACGCACACGCTAAGTGACCTGATCTGCTTGCACCAGGGAGAAGAGAGGTTTCGGGAATGTTCATCCCGCGTTAACGTGCTGTGAGGCTGCATTCACTAATGCTTAGTTAACCGCAGCGCAGCTCATGTCGGCCGACTGTTTTTCCAAATAGATGCCGCCACCTGGGTAACCCGGGTTCGAGATTGAGGGGCTACAAAACAACGCGCTCGCGAGGCTTCTCCGACCTGATCGACCAAGCTAACTGGGTACACTCGTAACCAAAAACTAAAGCTATCCTTCTGTTTCACCTTACGATGTAGGGACGACGACGAAGTGTCCTTTGGCGTGCAGAACAATTTTACTGCTCCTCAATTTTTCTGTATATAATCGTATATAACAGAAGTCACCACCTCTAAGGCTCCGGTAGGTGCGCCTGCCGCTGCGGCATGTCCTCGGCAGACGGGGATCGACCACCTGCGCAACCACAGACTGCACCAGACACCAACCTAACTCCGTCTCCACCGGCGCCTGGTTTATCCCCACCAGCTGCATCACTTAAAGGCGAGTGCACCAACGTCCCCACATCCTCAGCTTCGGAAATCAACATGGACGTAGCGTATTTGACCCCTGGGCAACGCCTTCATGATATCAGCGACTCGGACAGCATGGGCACGACTGACGATGAGGGCTTTATTCTGCAGCTGTCCAAGAAAGCCAAGAAACGTCGTCATGGGGCCCGATCAACGTCATCGAGCAGCAGTACCATCATTTCCATCGAGAACAAGTCTCCAGCACTTACTGTTATTTATATGCCCATAGACCAAACAAAGATAATCACAAAGCTGAACGAACTGAAACTAACCGAGCTGCTCGAATCACACGCGCCTGCGTCAGTAATTCAAATCCGTCCGAACTACCGACTCAACTTATTATCTGTTGACACTCGAAACATGGCTGCATCCTCCTCGCTTCTGAAGGTGTCATCACTACTAGGAATTCCGGTTAGAGCTTTCGAGCCACGATCACCCGCTCAAGCAACAGGAGTCATCAAGGGAATAGACGCCACTATCAAGATCGACTCAAAAGACACCATAGCTCAGCTTAGATCGAGTGACA